GTGTGAGAGAGAGAGTGAGAGTATGTGTGAGAGAGAGAGTATGTGTGTGTGTGAGAGAGAGAGAGTGTGAGAGAGAGAGTATGTGTGAGAGAGAGAGAGTATGTGTGTGTGAGAGAGAGTATGTGTGTGTGAGAGAGAGTCTGTGTGTGTGTGAGAGAGAGAGAGTCTGTGTGTGAGAGAGAGAGAGTCTGTGTGTGTGTATGTTTGTGTGAGAGAGAGAGAGAGAGTCTATGTGTGTGTGTGTATGTTTGTGTTTGTGTATGTGAGAGAGAGAGAGAGAGAGTCTGTGTGTGTGTGTGTGTGTATGTTTGTGTTTGTGTGTTTGTAGGATATATAATTGGTAGCCGAAACAAAAGTGAAGATGATGAGACGAAGTGGAAAATTTATTAACGACACGTTTCGCCTGAAAGCGTCTGCTCTCTTTCGTTTCCCCAGATTAGAATAAAGGAAAGACAAAACTATGTGGGTGGAAGATACTTTGGGATCCCCGAGGAGAATTAATGAGAATCCTAAGTCAAATTAAATCACCTCAGCTGACCACCTCTCAATCTCCAGACTTAAGAGAGTATCCGCCCGCCCGCATCTTTGATTGTTTTACCTATATCAATATTAGGGCTGTCCAGTATTGTGGGATTTTAACTCAGGGATTGTTCTTTTTTTAAACAAACATCAATTTATTTTCATTCATTTTTTTCAAGAAAACATTCCCATCCTTATATAAACATATAAAAATATATCTAAAAACATGCTTGATAATGACTTATTGACTAGTCAAAAGCACTCGGATCTACACACACAAGACATATATAAATATATATATATATGTATATAGAAAGAGAGATATATTTTTATGTTTATACATTTTTTTTATAGATACAAATATTTAAGTAAATGCTCTGTTTATAATAAATAGTATTAACAACATTTACCGGCCTAAATGTCCGAAAATTGTCATAGAAAATATGCGTCCTCCGAAAGGAATCGAACCTGTATCCTATACGGAACCGTCATATAGCCTGACGTGCTTTTAGCGATTTGGCCACAGAGGAGCGTTTCGGTTAGCAAGGTCGATTTTATCGATTTAATCGGTAAAAGTACATCAGGCTATATGACGGTTCCATATAGGATACAGGTTCGATTCCTTTCGGAGGACGCATATTTTCTATGACAATTTCTCGGACATTTAGACCTGTAAATGTTGTTAATACCGTTCATTATAAACAGAGCACTTACTTAAATATTTGTATCTAAAAAAAGAATGTATAAACATAAAAAAAAAATATCTTAAAATAATTGTCGGACTTTGTCCATTCCATAATATATATATATATATATATATGTGTGTGTGTGTGTGTGTGTATAAAAGAAATCTCTTATATGAATGCAAAAACAATTTATTATAAAACTTAGTCGTCTTCAATGAAACTTGTATAGACAAGAGATTGTTGCCCAGATAGAAAATTATATATATATATATATATATGTAAATGTCTGTTTATGTTGATAATGTCATCCAACTCTTGTTCTTACTATATAACTGATTAAATCGTCTATCAACTTTATTAAACTTTAGAAAGAAATACATTTAATTTGTCAGAACGAATGGCTCACAATCGCGTGAAACAATTAGACGCGACCAGCCAGAAGCATTATAAGCAAATAATATATGTGTCTATGTGTGCGTGGGAATCTATACATAAGTATAGGGAACACAGACATACACACAACCCACACACACATATATATATATATATATAAATGTCATCCACAGACAGACTGTTTTTTAATGTTTACAGCTCATCAATGTGGCTAGACATCCGTTTGCCTCTAGCTAGGATCGAAACCCGAAATTGGTGTCATCGGACTAACCACTAAGCCGTCGGCGCACGGTAGGAATGGAGGTAGATTTTTAGCGTATTTACTTTTTTTGTAAACATGCCCAGTGTGACTGACAGTGACTCAATTCGCTTACGCGAAGAGTCGCGCTATATTAGCTATAATAGTCATGTTTACAAATCACACCTCATAGAGTGCTCAACTGAAGTAAATTCAGGAGATATATAAAATGTCATCCACAGACAGACTGTTTATATTTACAGCTCATCAGTGTGGCTAGACATCCGTTTGCCTCTAGCTGAGATCGAAACCCGACTGAATTGGTGTCAGTCGGAGCTTCTAACCACCAAGCCGTCGGCGCACGGTAGGAATTTTTTGCGTAAAAATTTTTTTTTGTAAACATGCCCAGTGACTCACGCGAAGAGTCGCGCTTATATTAGCTTTTAATAGTCACTGTTTACAAATCATATAAACAGAGTGCTCAACTGAAGTCAAATTCAGGAGCTAATAAAATGTCATCCACAGACAGACTGTTTCGCTGTTTACAGCTCATCAGTGCATAGCCTCTAGCTAGGATCGAAACCCGACTGAATTGGTGTCAGTCGGAGCTTCTAACCACTAAGCCGTCGGCGCACGGTAATGGAGGTAGATTTTAGCGTATTTACTTTTTTTGTAAACATGCCCAGTGACTGACAGTGACTCAATTCGCTTACGCGAAGAGTCGCGCTATATTAGCTATAATAGTCACTGTTTACAAATCACCCCTCACTCCACAGAGTGCTCAACTGAAGTCAAATTCAGGAGCTAATAAAATGTCATCCACAGACAGACTGTTTCGCTGTTTACAGCTCATCAGTGCGGCACATCCGTTTGCCTCTATATAGGATCGAAACCCGACTGAATTGGTGTCAGTCGGAGCTTCTAACCACTAAGCCGTCGGCGCACGGTAGGAATGGAGGTAGATTTTTAGCGTATTTACTTTTTTTATAAACATGCCCATGATATGATAATTCGCTTACGCGAAGAGTCGCGTATATATATATATATACATATATATATATATACAGACACGAATTGTTGCCATTTTATATGTGCGATCGGTAAATTGTTGCCATTTTCTATTTTTCATGTAGCGCATGCGTGTTGGTTGTTTTTGATTTTGTCGACTGCACCGCATAGTTGGGTCAGTTGGGCACCGTCTGGGTGAAAAATCGCACCATGACGCAATACACTCCACCAGAAACGGCATGCTGTACTGCTTGGCATTCGCGCCGAAAGCTCTAATAAGAACATTTCAATGTGTATGGGTGTCAAGCTGAGGGCGGTGCACAGGATTCGCAAAGGGTTGAGTCTAATGGTGATTACGAATGTGCGGCAGCTCTGAAAACTCATTCTGATCGTGCTGATGAGAAAAGAACTCCCGAAATTGTTGCCGAGATCAAGACCATGATCGAAAACGATTCCTCCAAGACAATCTTGTTCATCACCCCTTAAATGTGGTCACCTTATTTCCAATAATCTGCAATCCTCTTGATTATTATGTGTCAGGCGCAGTTGAGTGAGAGACTAACAAAATTTTGTAACACCAAAGCTGAACTGAAGGCAAGAATTATGGGAGTAAATTAAACAAGGATACTGTCCTGAATTGTTGTAGGAGATCCCGACATCATCTTGAGGCCATGGTTGAAGCCAATGGCGATTTTATTGAATAAATTTACTCTTTAGTATTTCAATTATTTTGTGTAATTTTGGTAAATATATCTGTTAAAATGAGATTCTTTGGCGCAATTCAGACAATTTATCCATCTCTCTCTCTTCTCTCTCTCTCTCTCTCTCTCTATATATATATATATATATATATATATATATGTATTCCACTCAGTTTATTTTCTATTTGGAAAACGTTAAAATCATTATTTAGAAAATATCAAAATCATTATTTATGTTAAAATCATTTTCACCTAACAGCGAAGTTTCATTTTCTTACATAGCCGTTGAAGTAGCAAGTAGCTTGTAGAGTTGTTAACAGACAAATAGTAAGTGACGAAATATTACGGTGAACCGTATATGACAAAAAAATGGCAGTTACAATTTTGGCGTGTGGGGTGAGCGTAAGCTCGCAAGCTACAAGCGATTCTATCCCTTGAAAATAAAACAGTGTTTGAAAATTAAATCAAGAGAAGCTATTTATGCATTTGGGATACTAGGACCTTGAAAGGAAGCGAAATTACTGATTCCAGCTTTTAACTAGCGTTCGCTAGGGATATAATATAAACATACCTCTCAATGGTAGCGGAAAATTAAAGCTATTAGGTTGGTGCAAAAATAATGACGTAATAATGTCGTTTTTGGCGTATTTTTTAAGGTCAAAAAACGACATTATTACGTCATTATTTTTGCACCAACCTAATACGATGCTTCAGTCAATTCTGACATAATATTAAAGGTCACGTGTAATAAAATGTCTGTTTATACATACGATATAGGAACTTTGATTGGGGTATTTAATGTCGACTACAAGTTTTATAAGACAAAGGTTCGGTTTACACGAAAGTCAAAAAACAGACATCGGTTCAATTTACTTTTTTTTCTATGTGCAGCGTCCCTTCAGGACATAGGTATTCAAACCTCACCAAAACTTCATATCTCATGTGGCTCTTAGCAGTTTTTTCTCTCTTTGCTAAGGCCCCAATATCGTTCCCCTCTATATTCATACAAGCTCGTCAGCTACGTGGCTCGCTGCCTACACTAGAGTTAAAAAAATGGCAGTCACGCGCTAAAGTCAAAAAGGTAGACATAGGTCCAGTTTGTACCCGGGACAGTAAGTATCCGCATTAAGTCTATTGTGAGAATTATTTATCTGCAAAGGAAGCAATCGGCATAATCCACGCACTACTGAGATGACATTAAAAATAAGGACATAAATTACGAACTTGCTATCTTTAAAGAAGTTGCCTTTCTGCATTTGTTTACGGATTATCAACCTTTTGTAGGCTATTTAAAGCCAAAAATAATTTTTAGATTATAAGAGTTTTTTTTTTAGATAATAATGATTTGCTGATTAAAATTCTACTAATTAACCCGTATCCAAGGGTAATTACAGGTAAGTGAATGTAGGCTCCAATTCCGAGACCATAATCCATCACACCACCTGCACATATAAGCTTACAGCACCTGATATTCCCAACTGGTCACCATCTAGGTACTGACCAGACTCGGCGTTGCTTAATTTCGGTGATTGCACGGGAACCGGTGTTTCAACGTGATATAAATATAAACTTTCCCTTTTGAAGGTTAAGTCAACTTTGCCTAGTTTGACACAAGGACAAAATACTAAGCATCTAGTGAGGACAAAAAAAACGATATTGTGACAATATCCTTAGTCAAACATAGCTTTTGGAAAGGCATCGCTATAAATACGATAAGATAGTTTGGGCTGACACAAGGCCATGATTTTAGATCAAACTAATAGAAAATTTAGCTATATTTGTGTGCCAAACATACGGAAAATATTTTTCTGGGATTAGCTCACTGACTATAATTCAATACTTCAATTGTTTTTAATCGAATTTATCCCAAGCAAGGTAGTAAAGCCACTAAGACAAAAGAGGTTACTGGGTGTGAAATAATTAGAAAACAGAAAATATTATGAAGGAGCGAGAACAATCGAAGGGTAATCAGTAGATAACGATTGACACTGGATTTAAACGTTTGAAGATAAAGTTGGCTGAAAATCATAGAGCGAAAGAGAGTTTCACAAGCGGGAATTGCGAGAAAAGAGACTGTTAGCATAGAACTTAAGGTTACATCTAGCCAATTCAACTGCAAATTGATGATACCTTGTTACCAATCTAGTACTAGGCTTAAATTCATAACGTCTAAGTATCATAGAGGAGGGTTCATTCGAACAATTACCATGAAATTATATTTAGAAAAGGCAGAAGGAAGCAACTTTCCGGCAGTGGGAAAGTAACTGAAGCCGAAACGCCAGGTCAGGACCAATAATATTGCTGATTCGTCTTTAGATTTTATCTATAATTTTTAAATAAATAGCAGGAGCTTCGGGCCATATATGGTAGTAATAGTTGAGGTTGGAACCAATAGTTTGCGGTTCCTCTCTTCTTTTTATTATACACACTTTTCTCTCGTTGGAAGTACTATAACCTCTTCCCTTTATATATATATATATATATATATATATATATATATATATATATATATATATATATATATATATTATGCATGTTTCATTAAAACCAACAGACAAGTTACTACGATTAAACTTTTTTATATTATTTTTTTTTGTTCGAATAAGTATTTTCTTTTTGAGAAACAGAATGTGCAGAAACTGTCCAAATGATCTGTAATTCTGAGCACTTTCGTCTATACTTTTAGCCATTATTAAGGATAATTTTATGTTCTCAATTTAATTTGGTGTGTGTATTGTGTGTATATTTTTAGTGTTATAGAGATGTTTTATTTTATGAACACAGCACATTGTGGCCGTGTTCGTAGTTAATATTATTAAGTGTTGGCTTTTTTCTTATTTATTATTAAGACTTCCATTATTTTAAATCTTTTTTACATGTGGATGTTATTATGTTTGTATTTTCTACTAGTATGTTTTGGATGGAGCCTGATAAGTTTGTGTGTGTGTGTGTGTGTGTGTTTAAATGGGTTCTAATAGAGCTGTGGTCAGATAGGCGTAACATAAGACGTCTGGATAGGCATGTAGTCGTGTGACCGATGTAATTATTTATGGATTCGGATCAGGAAAATAGTTCCTTAAGCGACATTTGAACTCATAGACAATGCTTGTTCGTTGTAATTTTGATTTTGCTTGTGTGTTGTTATTTTTTAGGATAAGGTTAGAGTAGATAATTAATTTGCCTTTTTTATTCGGGTCAATTGGGGTAGCGTATTTCTTTATAATATTTCTAAGTGAAGATTCATATTGTTTGTAGTTGATGTGTATTTGGTTTTTGTAGAAAATATTTATGTAATTTTTGACTCACAATCGTTATTTACTTTGGGAAGAAATAGTCTAATTTGGTGGTCTATAAGGTGGTTAGGGAAGCCATTCTTAATTAGTGTCTGTTTTACATTATTGAGTTCTTTAAGGAAGAGGATTCGAGAGGATGGATTCTAGTGTGCTCTTTTTAGGAAGTTGTTTTTTTTATCACTGCTATTTTATATCAGTGTGAGCATTCACTTTTAAACTTAAGGTGGCAAGAGTTTCTCCTAGTGGGTTTTTATATAATGTGATGATAAAAGTGTTTTTACTATATTCTACAAGAACATCTAAGAATGGGAGTTTATTTTTTTGACTAAGTTCGCAGGTAAAGTTAAAGACAAAGTTTTTTTTTCAAATGTGGTCTTAAGAGTATCTATTTCTTTAGTGTTATTTGCTAAAATAAAAATATCGTCTACCTAGATGACATATATTTATAGACCTCTTTAAATACCATATTTTCTACATGGGACATGCATGCAGACACACCTAGATCAATATATTATATAAGACTACCCGTGACCTGTTGGGTCACTGACGGTTCAGTTTATAAACCATTGAAGTTGATTTCGGCATTCAATTAAAATGAAAGTTAATATTATTGAGTCAATTAAATATTTCTTTTCTTTCGTGTCATCACTGATCTCAGTCGTTCAAGTCTGAACCGACTGTTCGGTTAAACTCTCTTCCTACGGACGGGAGGAACCCGAAGGAGGCTACGTCGAAAGGCGGAGTCTCCTTCGGGGAGGTAAAACCGGCCCTGAACCCGTTTATACGGGTTTAAATCGAAATTGCATACCCTTGCCGAGCCTAATGGCTCAATTTGCCCACGTTAAAAATGCCTTTGTGCCACATGACACCCACGTGTGTTGGGGGGTGGGGGTGACTGAATATCGTCATGACTGATCTGGTTTACAAGTTCATGTTTAACATTTTACTGATTGTTTACAGCATAGGAATGGAACTTTCGGGATAAACTTTTAATTTTTTGAATATGCAAAAAACAAATATTTTTTTTTAAATATTTAAAATATTGTCTGTTTAAAGAAAGCTGAAATATAAATAATTACTCTACAAACAACGGAACGAAACAGCAAATCGGGATCTCTTTGTGTCTGTCTTTAACTTAAAAAATTAAAATTAAAAATGTATCTGTTTGAAGAAATTTAGAATAAAAATACTTACTGTATAAATAACTGGTATTTTTAAATCTTATTCACTTAAATCAGATTAACTTAAAAATCATTATGTGCCGGACGAACGAACGACATCACTGACTTTTAGTATTACATAAATGGAGAGCCATAAGTTAAAATATAAATTTTAATGGGTTATGAGGAAAATAAAAGTAACATCATTTGAAAATGATATAATACAAGCTAAGAAAAAGAAATTCTATAAAAATGCAATCATAAAATATTTATTTTATACAGACAGAGAAATAAACTCGTCAGTTTTCTGTAAACTTCTAGCAACACTAGTTTTCTCGTTACATTTCGGTTATTTTCATCAAGAGAATCTGAGAAAAGAAAGTATAATTGCTCATAACATTACAAGTACGAACCGTAAGAAGGTAGGAAAAATTATTACGGAATTTGGAAATGAACTAAATACGGGAAATTGGAGGTCTCCCTGAAAGGTCAGTACAGGACGGGGCAAAATTATCCAATACAGGACATGTTCCGTATATAAGGAATGTCTGGTAACCCTATGTATGTCAAAGTTTTCCTGAAACAGGTCTTTTCAGCATCAACTTACATCGTCTGTTGAAGAAATAAGATAAAAAAAAAACTAAAAACAAAACTGTTCTATTTAAACTGGGGAATAATTGTCTAAAGGATAAAATAATATTTTTAGAAAAACAAGGAAAACAAAGTAATAAAATGTAGAAAACAAACAATAGGATTCAGCGAATGAAATCACAATCTTTCCGGGTTTAATTTTATCACGTCAGCTCAAGTTTTGTAAAATTAGATAAAAGTCGTCAGTCGTCTGTCTACAAAACTTCCGTGGCATTAACAAATACATTAACTCTACACGTTAAATATGGAGGCTAATTAAATTCTGTGATTGACTTTTTCCTTTTTTTCTTTTTTTTGTAAAACAAGAAAATAGCAGAAATAATGCCTCAAAATCAACCGACATCAACAGAGTTCATATTTTTATTTAATCGTCCCTGTTTTGACTTAATGAAATGATATAATGGTTAGCAAGCTTGTCTTGGTATTGTTTATTACGGATGAGTAGTGAGTTCGATCTTTACTGGGTGCTCCACACTTTTGGCCATGTGACACATTTAAGCAATGCTTAGACATAATTTTAGGGCACCTCGACGTGGTCTCATGTTTAGCAGGATTGTATCGCTAGAAAAATTACGACTGATTCGTGTGTTCGATCCTCATTTCGAGTCCCATACTCACGTCCTTGTACCAGATCTAAGCTGCGCTTAGAAAATCACCATATTTTAATTTGCGTATTTTGTTTTGTTTATCTTTATCATTTTTTTTTTGATTTTTTTGTTTGTCATTGTTTTTAAGCTAACAATTCCTCTCCGGCTGTTAAATTAGTAATAATACGTAGGTTTTCATATTCTGAGATGAAGTATTTATGTTATTAAAACTTTTGTAGGTTTTGTTTTGAGTAGATTCTTAAACGTTGTTTTTTTTGTTTTTTTTTTCTTTTTTTTTTGTTTGCTTTTTTTTTGATCAGTCATATTCGCCGATCTAATTTCTTTGGTTGATAAATTATTTGCGTTCAGGATCCTAGACGAAGTAATTTTTATTATTGAACATATGTTATGCAATGTCATGATTAAGTTCTTCAGATTCTTATTACTTTTTTCATCCTAATCGGGGGATAGATTAAATTGGCGCACTAAAAACTAGATTCAGGCGTGACTCGAAATTGTATTACTACGACATTTGCTTTATTGTGAACTAACATTGTCTACCAACAAAAAGATTATGAATCTAGTCAAATATTTAGAAAATATATTAAAAAATGTTAACATCTGATGCAATACACAAAGTATTTAGGGTGCATATCTTTTCTGTTAATTCACCCCAAATAATGTAATGTCACTTATTGCAAATATTAATCCACAAGAAATTATAATTTTACATCAAAGTTTTATTGTTTTTTTTTATCAAACTTGTTTATCTTGCCTCATAACAACGCCAATCCTCAGAATGAAAAAATTACCAAAAATCAGCAAGTTATTCACTTTCCGTAAGTGCGGATTATATTCGAGGTAC